TACATAAAAAAATAACCAAAATAATGGCTTCTGGCTCTGACAAGGTCAATAACATGATGGACGAAAGCTCAGCGTGGATGGTGAGTCGAGGTTTAATTCGCAACATTCAGCAGTCAGAAGTTCAAGGCAACCCCACTTCGGTAGACAGGGAGCCTAAACTATGAACCGCATGTTTAAACGAAAAAAGGTATTCTAAGATTAATAAAAAACAATTTTAAATAATGCGACAGAAAACAAAATTAGAAGAAAAAGTATGAGCTTGGATTAAATCGGATTTAATAAAGTTAATCTGTATAATATAGGCAAAATGAGTATGAATGAGTTTTTGCTGAGCTGAGATGAGATCAGGGGTGGGGTGAGATTAAGCTTTTTATACATGCATTTGATTAGACTTCAAATATATTTGTTACTATATTAAGATGCGTTTTGAAGAATCTCGCCCATCATTTGACAGATAGTGCTAAAAAAGATCATGTATCCTTTACCAACATCAAAAATATTAAATTGATAGTTTTCGTTATGACAACGTCTTCCTTGCATAATGCAACAATCTTTGTTCTTGGACTACCCTCATTTATTTTTCGGTGAGAATAATCCATGAATTCCTTCTAACAAACTTTTTCTTTGAAATAAACATTTATTTCAAAATAAAGTATTAAGGGATATTTAGAAGCCTAGCTTCTCTTTTTACTTCCAAGTACACTTTTCCTTCAACCGGCCTGGACGAAAATAATGCTGCCAAAAGCTATTTTTAAAGCGTCTCAAACAAATTCTTGCCTTACCGACCGCTATTTCAAACGTTTATCCACACATTTCTTAAAAAGATTGTCCAATTTTTTTCCCACCTTATCTATTCCAGCCTCCAAATGTGTCGGCATTTGGCTGAGGCCACCACTTTGGCAGGACAGCGAGCCGGCAATGCAGCCGGTGCACACACTGCGGCACAGGTCCCTTGATGACATCCCGACCGACTCTGAGTCTGTTGAAGGCGCCAGGTCATGTGCAGCGGCACATGGGTACAGAGCATTGTGGACAATGGAGAAGATCACAAGAAAGATGAGTTGGCGGGGAGATTGAATGCAAGCTCCGACAATGCCCGAGCGACTGCAACAAGTTCCGACGTCAGAAGACGCAAAATAGGCGGGCTCCGATAGACGAAAACGGCCTCCACTCGTTCTTCGGCTGCTCTTGCTGCCAATATGAGAAGATTTCAGATGGGCAAAATCACAACTCAAGGAATCGTGTGGAGGCGAGCCAACCGCGCTCGGACGCAGTGTAGGCAGCATCTGAAGTGTCGACCAAGAAGATGTCTCACTCATGTATGCGCCGTCGTCAGGGCGTCTTAGGTGTGAATTTGTTAACCGATGCAATGGAAAGTGGAGAGAAAAATGGGAATTTGACATGGTAAATTTTCGTTTGATGTTGACCTTTACAATCATTAAACAGAAAGTTGGATACACGAATAAAAAGCAGATTTCAATGAGTCTTTCGAGAATCTTTATTGAGATTTTCATTTCATATGCATGATGAAGAGATCCATACGCCAATCTCACCAAAAGACGACAGGTAAACCACCAACCAAGGCGACTGAAATTGTCAGCTGGGTGTTGGTTCTACCTAAATTTATACTTGCCCAATGTGCCTGTTAAACTCATCAAACAAAACTGAAGTACCAAATTACACAATCCAAGTCATGCTCTTATTTGGGCTACTGAAAGTAATGATTAGACTACTGTGTCATGATACGTGGTCTTGTGACTTGGTGTACACGCATAGAGGCTTACACTTCATAGCTTCAACCAGAGTTAGTCAAGGGATTATGCAATTTCGATCATACTTTTACTTGGATCATTCAGCATTAATGGCCCGAGGCTGACCTTAGACTCTTTTATGTAATTTGAGTTATTGTGTACAGACGTTACACACACACAAACACACACACACACACAAGCACACATACACAAAATAGAGAATATGAGAAAAAAAACCATTATATACCCATACATATCTAAATATGTTTTCCTGTAGGACATAGCCGGTCAATCTGCCTGACCCACTATTAACGTGAGACTTTTGCAAGAATGAGTTCCAGTTCTAATGATGTTTATCGTATTATCAACGAAAACTCAGTACTAGTAGTGGGTCGACCTCGTTGTCGCAACTTGGTCTTGTTGTCAGTGCGACTATGTAGAACGCACCTAGTCCGAAGTCGTCGGCCATAGTAGTTGTCATGATTCCCAGCATCTGACAGTGGA